TTTTACCAAGTTTTTAACGTCTGTTTATTTATTCGGTTTAGGGTTGTTTGAAAGAAAGGCAATTCTTTCTCTGAAGTTTGATTTAACTGGTGGTAGTGCTCAGGGTCATGCTGAAATAATGATTTTGACACCATGGGTGTCGAATAGAATTACTTGGCCTGCTGCTAAACCCTTTCTTCCCCATTCCTTCGTGTAAATCTGTCCTGCCAGCTGCTTCAAGGCCAGGTTGGACGGAGCTCTGAGCAACCTGCTCTAGTGGAAGATGTCCCTGCTCATGGCAGGGGGGTTGGAACCAGATGATCTTTAAGGTCCCTTCCAACCCAAACCATTCTATGGTTCTATTATTCCAGTCCTGTCTGTCCAAATTGCGCGTAATGTTTTGGAGTTCAGTTTGCTGTGTGTTGCTTCAAAGTTTAAGGTTTTCAGTGAACACCTCTCTTTGAGTCCGTGTATCGCTGTCAAGGCTGCAAGAACCTCTTTGGAAGGTGCATGAAATGGTTTCATTCAGCCTCTGCAGAACAGAGACTTGTGAGGTGCTGTGTCTGAGCACAGATACTCATCCTTTTCTGTTTTCTCCAGTCTGCCAGTGTAATGGGCACAGTAAGTGTGTAAACGAGAGCATCTGTGAGAAGTGCGAAAACCTGACGACTGGCAAGCACTGTGAAACTTGTATCTCGGGCTACTACGGTGATCCTACCAATGGAGGAACCTGTCAGCGTAAGTGATGCCTGAAGTCTTCCTGTGCTGAAGTCTTTTGATGTGTCTCGCTCTTTACTCGTTCCTCTGCTATCTTAACTGAAATTGTATCCCAATAACACATTTTTTCTTTCCTGCAAGCAAGGCACAATCCTTGTTTCTTCAAATCAAAGATAGGGAAACTACTTCATGAATTTCTTTGCCTTTCATTGCACAAGATGATTTTTTTACCCTCCTTTGTAAACTCTAAATGACCACAGTGAAAAATGGGTTCGTTCTAGTGTTTTGATAAGAAACAGTGGTGGTCCCAATGTCTTGAAGAAATTTCTATTTACGTAAATTCCACCTTGTATTACATTTGGTAAATGTGTTGTGCATTTATTGTTATAATCGTCTGCTTCACAAAAGGCTGGCCATATTGCTCTGAGGAGTTGGCTGGATTTCAGATGAGGATTAGCTGATGACAACTAAAATCGCATTTTATGTAGATAAGGTGCTTTGGGACTTTCTGGCACAAAGAACTTTTTTTGGTTGTGCGAGATCCAGTTAACAAACTGGGAAAAATATCTTTCCGGAAGGACCAATACAGGTAATACTGAGAAATGGATGTGTAAGCTTTGAAGTTTTGGCCTTGACCCTTGCAGCATTATTCTGGATTACTGCAAATTTTGTTGTGTAGCGTGGGGAGACCAGTTGTAAACCAGAATCCAGCTGTGATAGGTGATCTGCAGGTGTAAGGAAAGGTGCTTCTTGCTCCGCAGAGCTTTAATGGCACATAGTTAGGTGGAGCGACACGATTAGATACAGCGATGGAGAAGGTAGAACAGAAAGGACGTTTTTCAGTGTCAGAGTGGTATCAGTACTTCCATGAAGTAGGTGTGGCTGGTTTGCAGGCATCCCGGAAGAAAGAAGTGAAGGTGATTGAAGACTTTGAGTTGCTCCTTGTAAGCGTGGAGACAATCCAGTAGAAAATACGTGGAAATTCATTTAGTATGTTTGCTGGAAGTAGCATCAACCTTTTGGACGAAGATGAGAGTGACAGAATCACAGAACGGTAGGGGTTGGCAGGGACCTCTGTGGATCACCCAGCCCAACCCCCTGCCCAAGCAGGGTCACCCAGAGCAGGCTGCACAGCACCGCGGCCAGGCGGGGCTGGAATATCTCCAGAGAAGGAGACTCCACAGCCTCCCTGGGCAGCCTGGGCCAGGGCTCTGTCACCCTCAGAGGGAAGAAGTTCTTCCTCATCTTCAGCTGGAGCTTCCTCTGCTTCAGTTTGTGCCCATTGCCCCTTGTCCTGTCGCTGGGGACCACTGGAAAGAGTCTGGCCCCATCCTCCTGACCCCCACCCTGCAGATATTTAGAGGCATTTCGAAGGTCCCCTCTCAGCCTTCTCTTCTCCAGGCTGAACAAGCCCAGCTCCCTCAGCCTCTCCTCGTAGGCGAGATGCTCCAGTCCCCTCCTCATCCTCGTACCCCTCCGCTGGACTTTCTCCAGTAGCTCCTCATCTTTCTTGAAGTGGGGAGCCCAGAGCTGGACACAGGACTCCAGATGGGGCCTCACTACGGCAGTGTAGAGGGGAAGGAGAACCTCCCTCGAGTCAGCAGCTGGAGCATGAACGTCCCGTTTCCTAAAGCAAGAGCGAGTAGGTGAAGTTTGAGGCTGTGAAGAAGAACGTCCCAGCGGACTGATCTGAGGGAAGGTGTGAAAGGATCACAGGCTCGGTCAAGGCTGCCTTACTTAGGGAAAAGGCGTTGCAGTAGATGGGATTTGATATTACGACAGACAGCACAACGGCACGGGCACAAAGGAAAGGCTGCGTCGCTGACACTGTATTTCAGAACATTATCTGCGAGATTAAATACCGCTGATATTTTTCAACTTATTTCCTGTGAAGATAATTTGAAATGCAGGAATGAATAAACTGAGACCGAGTTGGCCAGCGAAAATGCATAAATCTACTCTGAGCGTTCGGCTTTAATCATTGGATCATAACGTGCCTTTTGATATTTGTTGCTTTTCTACGCGTGTGGAAATTGAGAAGAAGTTACTCGGGACTCTGTCGCATGAGGGTTGTCCGAAAATAGTTTGTTGTTGAGATAATGAATGATAGACTAAAACCATCCAGATTCCTCAAAAAGAAATTAGAAAATGTGTTGAGAGCCTGTGGAGCAGCATTTGTTATCTGATGGAACCAGTAGCTCATGTCAGAAGTGCTTTGCTCTCAAGTGCTTTGGGCCCCAGTTTTTAATTTGCTGTGATTTAACGCCATTTGCTGTGAATGGGAAGGAGTGAGGGAAGCAGGAGGCTGGGCAGAAGGACCGAGGTGGATCAGAAGAGGGAAAGCGAGAGGAAATCATCCTGCCTGATGCAGCCAGAGCGACTGCTGGCCATTAGTAATTTTTGCTCGTTAAGACGATTTCCAGAGGAGATTTCCTCACATGAGGGATTGGCTGATGGGCAACAGAGCCAACTCCTGCTTTTTCCCTCCTCCGAGCCACGGTCCCTCCTTCCGTTCCCGTTCAAGACGCGCTGACTCCACTCTTTTTCTGCTATAATGTGCAATGCTGTGTGCTCCACCCTGATGAGCAAGCGTCCGCGCGTTTGCGCGCTTCGTGCCTGGCGTGAGTCCTCGTGCTTCGACGCGCAGACCTGCGGCGTTAGCCCGTCGGCCCCAGCAGCGTGGGCACCGTAAAGCTCCTCAAACGGCAAATATCCGGTGCTGGAGAAAGCGTGAAGGGTTTGGTGTTTTCCGTTCTGCTGAGCCGTCGGGAGCCGGAGTGACGCTGTTGGGGTAGCGGCAGCCTGGCAAACAGGCAGAGCTGGAAGCGGCAGCGATGGGGTTGTCGTGTTAAAAGGGGTAAAGGAGTCTGATAAGTGGGGAAAGGGAAGCCCTGCTGTTGAGTCACGAGGTTCAGAGAAGACCCCCTTGTGTTCTAAACTCTCTCTCAGAGAGGAGTCTGGGTGTGGCTGGATCAACTCCCAGTCCCAGACTTGGCCAACGGTTTATGTCTAAAGGGTGAAGTGTGGAGCCACTTGCAGATTCAACTTGCCTGTCAGAGCCCCTCCCAGGACTTTCACTGAAACAGTTTCACAAAGCTGAAAGAATAGGGAATTTATTCAAGCGACAGGTATCACAGATTCGGGATTGCCATTGATAAATGCACTGTCTACAAAAGTTGAGCTCAAGGCAATGGTTTAGTGCTTTAGTTAACAGTGTGTTCCTGGGGATGCGTCTGACACAGAGAGGTGACTCAAAAAGGCGTCCCTTCTTGAGGGGGAAGAGAGGTTCAGGCCCGTTGACCCGTCCTTCAGGTGAAGTTCTCGCTTGGCTGCTCCTCCCAAAGAGAGTCTTCAAGTGCCAGTTTTTATATATTTGAAGTTTGCTATCTGGACTATTATTGTGCATGGATTGGCTCTTGGCTTGGAATGTCGTGTGTCAGAAGCGGGACTCAGCAGTTTGACACGCCTATGGAGCGGGCATCTTGGCATGTGCTTCCAGGGGCCATCTGGTCTTTATCCAAAGCAATCTCTGGCTGTGCAGCCTCCGCCGCACCCCACAGATCACTTGGTTTACAGTGATGGGCTGTCCCCCCTTGCTTCTGTCTGATAAGATAAGCACCAGCTAATTGCTCCATTTGTTAACTCTTTGGCTCTTGACACCTGAGTCCGAGCATGTCTTTCGTCTTGCATTGACAGGTCCAGCTAGACCATCGATTACAGCAGTTCAGAATCACAGAATGGTCGGGGTTGGAAGGGACCTCTCTGTGCCACCAGGGCAGGTGAACACAGCCATACCGCTTGTGCTGAAAAAAATTTTGACAGACTGCGGTTATTTCTCTGAAAGAATCATTTGCAGATCAGCCTTGGTGTTCACAGAGCTGGCCAGATAATAACTGAACGGTGGGTAAATCGCTCCTCGGCCGCTGCTTTTAGGAAGCATCCAACGTAGAGAAGTGTTCATCGGGAAGGGCAGGAGAAGCAGCACGTCCAATGTAAAAATAGCTGCAAGGTGCTTTCCCTGCATTCAGGATTTATTTGAATTTTCTGATTAAAGTTTCACATGAAAATATGCTAGCGGTAGATAAGACAGTTATTTGCAAGAGAGCGGAAGGCGTTATTATGCCTGAAATCAGATTGCCGCTGCGGCAGCGCTTCCGAACGCCTCCGTGGAGCGTTTGCTGGTGGCCCACGATGAGCTGCTGGGGCCGTGGTCCTGCCTGCTCCCCGCTCCCAGGGCTGCTCAGGGGCCTTGGAGGACGGCCAGAGCGTGTGGAGTGGAAGAATGGTGTCGGGCAGGTGGGTGATGCTGTTGCGTTGGGATGCTGGACCATGGGAAACGCAGGAAGAGGAGCAGTGATCCCTGTGACCTCTGAATGTGTCTGTGAGCCGTGGTTTGTGAAGAAGGTGGAAGGAGACTCACTTTAAGGTGGTTCAGCATCAAGACTGTTACTGTGCTTCACGGTCAAAAAGCCATTTCCAGGAATTTTGCCTTTCTGCTCTAGCATCAGACTCTGGAGGGAAATTTCAGACTCCAGCGAGCGTCTCTAGTGCATTCTGTCAACGGTTTGTTTCCAAACTTGGGATGGTCTGGAAAGCCATGAGAAAATTTCTCTTCTTTGTGTGTATTCCAGTCCTTCAGTGAATCATCTCTAGTTACGGGGCTCGTAGGAAGAGGGATGATAAAATAGACTCTGTTTTGCATAGAGTTATTGGAGTGTTCAGTGTTTTTGTGGCAGGGTGAGGAAGCGTTAGTGTTAGTGCTCAAGATACTGGGATCTGCATCTAAACAACATGAAATTTGAAATTTCTCCTGGTTTTTATATGTGATAGTACTGAATATTGATCAAATTTCACTTTGCTTACCTGTTGCAAAGCGTAAGGAAGGAAGTACAAGACGTTCTCAGTAGTATTCAGAATTATTTTTTTTAAAGTGCCACTAATGAGAAGTGTGTTTGCTTCACAGAATTCAATTATTTTGTCAAATCTTCATTCAGGCTACTCGTTCCCACAATAGGCCTTTATGCTTCTTCATATTTTGTTCCGTGTTGCTGCTAGGAAACCACTCATCCACATCTGAGAAGCACAATTAAGTCTCCCTGATAGAATATAGCTTCCATTACATGCCAATATAAAGAAGACATCAAAAGGATGCGTAAAATAAGGTGCAGGGTTGGCAAGGATGTTCAGGATGGGGACTTCGTGTCTAAGAATCTGCTGGTACATGAAGTGGCACGTCCGCTTAATGAGAAGGCATGTGTCTTCTTAACGAGGAGGCATCAGCCTTGAGAGCATACGATTTCCAGCAAGCTCAGGGACCGTAAAAGAGGGATCTTCTCTTTGGGTGCTTTTTCCCTTCTTGCGTTGGACGGTCTGCCTTGTGCAGCTCCAGGTGAATGTGTCTTCTAGTTCATTGGTAGAACAACTTCTAAAAGGCACCTACCTACCTGCCGGGACAAGTTATTATAGCCGTTCTTCTAGGTATAGTGAACATTGTACCAAAGATTACTGCGTGGGTTGGTTTTGCTGTTGTTGTTTTGGTTTGGATTTTTTTTTTTTTTTTTTGCATGTACCTCCTCTACTGCTTTATGAATAAAGGTCCCAAAGTGTGTCAACATTAGCATTTTAATTTGAAGCAGGAGCATTCTTTCGAAGCAAATCTCCCTTACTTCCCCGCTGTCACACCTCGGTTTGCATCTCAAGCAGGCTCAGAGTAGATGAGCTGCTCGATTTCGGGCATGCCACGAGCCTGGTGCAGTCTAGGGACATGCCCGATTTCCTTCGACCCCGACTCGGGGTCATTCACCTCGTGAGAGGAGGCCAAAGCTCTTCTGAAATACACTGGGGCACGTGCCCCAGACTGCTTACAGCATGGACATCGTGTTCTTAGCGCCAGCCGCTTCACACTGCAGATACACTGACGTTGTTGATAATGATGGTATCTTCTCAAAGGCCTCTTTATTTCTAGGAAAAGACCTAAAAGCACCACGAGGTTTGCTTTATTTGCAGAAAATAGTCTTCGCTCAAGAGTTTTGATTTCGAGTGAAATGTGTTAGCAAGCCCCAAACTATTCCAGATATTACAGAATCCCAGCATGGCAGGGGTTGGAAGAGACCTCTGTGGGTCACCCAGTCCAACCCCCTGCCCAAGCAGGGTCACCCACAGCAGGCTGCACAGCACCGCGGCTGAAATATCTCCAGAGAAGTAGCCTCCACAGCCTCCCTGGGCAGCCTGGGCCAGGGCTCCGGCACCCTCAGAGGGAAGAAGTTCTTGCTCATCTTCAGCTGGAGCTTCCTCTGCTTCAGTTTGTGCCTATTGCCCCTTGTCCTGTCACTGGGCACCACTGGAAAGAGTCTGGCCCCGTCCTCCTGACCCCCACCCTGCAGATATTTAGAGGCATTTCTAAGGTCCCCTCTCAGCCTTCTCTTCTCCAGGCTGAACAAGCCCAGCTCCCTCAGCCTCTCCTCGTGGGAGAGATGTCCCAGTCCCCTCCTCATCCTCGTAGCCCTCCGCTGGACTCTCTCCAGTAGCTCCTCATCTTGCTTGAACTGGGGAGCCCAGAACTGGACCCAGTACTGCAGATGGGGCCTCACTAGGGCAGAGGGGCCTTTTTCCTCCCAGTTACCATATTCCTAGTGCTATCTAACAACAAGAGAGGAAGTTGAATACATTTTTGAGGCTAAAAAGCACAGTCTGAGCATGATTTCATACAAAACACCAGTCCTGGAGCCCGCACTCACTCCATTTTGACGCCCGGTTCTGTTTTTGGCTGCCTTCTGTATCACGGAGAAACCAGACTGCCGACCAGGTTTTTCATATGTGCTTGAATTGCTGATGTATCGCAGTTTGGCAACTAAGGAGCTTAATTGCTATCAAATCTGTTTCTCTTGGTTCATTCAACATTGCATCTTTTCCCCTCTCTGTTCAACAGCTTGCAAGTGCAACGGCCACGCGTCCGTCTGCAACACGAATACAGGGAAATGCTTCTGCACTACCAAGGGAATAAAAGGAGACGAGTGTCAACTGTGAGTTCATTTCACTGGGCGATTTGAAATCCAAAGGCCGGGCACGTAGCAGCGTGGAACCCCGACATTTCGTAATGAGTGTGTTTGATGTCTCTGCTCATCTCCTCCTGCCAACAGTTGACTAACTTCGTTGGCGATGCAGCCAGCCATGCTTCCCCGGGGAGGGGGGATAACAGGAGCAACAAGATTTCTGGAGATTTCCATTTTTAAGAACATTTCCACTGGGAATGGCATGCAGAAGGGATGGGGTGAAAAAAAATAATACCCCCAAAACTATCCATACCGCTTTGCTTTCTCCCTCTATCGTTTCTTTTTGCTTTCTCCCTCTATCGTTTCTTTTTGCTTTCTCCCTCTATCGTTTCTTTTTGCTTTCTCCCTCTATCGTTTCTTTTTGCTTTCTCCCTCTATCGTTTCTTTTTGCTTTCTCCCTCTATAGTTTCTTCTTTGCTTTCTCCCTCTATAGTTTCTTTTTAATCGGTAGATTTTTACTGTCTGTACGCTCTGGTGCTGTGCTGGGCGAGTGTAAATATATCTGAAATAAGGCTTTGACATTCAAGCATTTTAATGGAGCAGTTTCAGAGCGACTAATTTGCTGGAGGTTTCTGTGTAACGTAACAGAAATGCTTTTAGCGTAATGTTAGTGGAAATAATTTCATTCCAAATAGTTTCATTGCCAGGTTTATTTTTAAAGCGTTGCTCGCCTGAGTAAACCTTTACAAGACTTTAAACGCCAGTAGAAGCTTCAGGTTTTGACTGTAGTAATCCAGTTCCATGCATTGTAAAGAGCTGATAAATACATTCCAAGTGGATGCAAAGGTTAATACGCAGAATTTTATATTTCATTTTTACTGCATACTGGTTTGACTCGCAGGGACTGTGGAATTTCTCCATCAGCCCAGTATAGCTCAGACATTCATCTTTTATTTTTAATTGTGTACCGTTATCAGCACAGGTGGTGTTTCGGATTTTTAGTGACTGGGAATAAATAGAACTGGGGGGAAAAAAAATCCATTTATTAAAAAATATGTATTCCTTTTAGGTGTGAAGTCGAAAATAGATATCAGGGAAATCCACTTAAAGGAACATGTTACTGTAAGTACTCTTGGGATTTTGTTTGGAGATAAAAAATGTGTTTGAAGCTTAAAATACCTTATTTACAACTAGTTTTAGTTTCCTCAGCATCTGTTTAAAATACCAGGGGATTAAGGGAAGGATGAAAAAATAGTTTTAAAAAACTTCAGTTTTCACTACAGTATTGTTTAAAGACAACGAAAATACATTTCTTGATAAGGTCTGGGTGATGATTGGATCTTTCAGAGCGAACTTTTTCACAGGACTTAGAAATGAAATCAGGTCTTCTGCAGAATACTCTAAATTGTATACCTAATAAGTCAAAGCCAAAGCATGTCTCTAGAATTTTTGGAAGTGCAAAGTACTGAAACATTCTGTTTCATGTTAGAATGGGTGAGGTTTCCAAATCTCCACGTTTGCTCTGAAATGAACAGTTGGGTCCCTGTGCGATTCGAGAAGATGCTCTGCCAAGATTCAGATGACTTAGTGGAAACCCTCCAGCTTCTATTTGCAAATATCAGCAATCAGCTCCCTGGCAGCCATGGGTGGATGTAATCTCAAATTGCATCGAGATGCAGCTCTCAAATAGTATTTTTGCGCAATACAGAAATGATCAACGTGCTGTAATTAGCGAACGTGGATTCTGCTGCCGTAGGCAAACCAGGGCGCTGATGGCTTCTTCTGACAGTCTCTTTGCGAGGATGCCCTAATGCATTGCTGCCAGGCTGGGGAAGTGGGCAACACGGGGAGAAAGACCGAACTTTAGGACTCTTCCAGGAACAACCTCGTGCTGTACGGGTTCAGTGTCACTTGGTTTTCTTCCTGGAAAATTCGTGTCTTTGTGCTTGATAGTTGTGGGTAGACATCAGCAGGTTGTCTAGCTCCTGTCTACCCAACAAGGGGCCTTCAGGAGGCGATAAGAAAGAGCACTGCTGTATAGTTTCATATTTATTACTGCTTGGAATATCTCTGTATGGGTCTGGCAATACGTACGAGTCATAATACTGTGTTTTAATGAAAGAATGCTGAGACTGGTGGATGTATCCCCAAAACTGGCTGGGCACTGTGGAATAACAGAGGTGGTAGCCCAGCCCTAGGCAGATACAAGCACAGGAGGGCAGACAAGTAGGCCAAAAACTGGTCCTGGTGTGCCTGGCCGTGATGTGACCCGGAGTAAGGTGGCAGCTGGGTCCATTAAGAAGTAGCTGCTCTGTAGAAATCCTCCCTGTACAGTCTACTGATGTACAGAAACTTACCATGTGTGGAACTTAGTCCCCTCCCAGGTGGGGATTACACATCTAATTAATTAATTAATTATATAGAGGTGTTGCCCTATGGAAAAAGTAAATGTCTTGACATGTTCTTTACAGTGTATAGGTGTGAACAGTCCTTTAGATTAAGGTTGGAGGCTATTGCATGGAAGATGTAAGCAGAATTTTTTTCCCCACCAGACTCAAAGAGAGGGTTTTGTCCCTTTTGGGGGGGATCATGCGTAGATTGGAGTCATTCATAACAGCGTGGTGACTCCCAGTCGTGCTCTCAGTGCAGGAAGCCCTTCGGCGACATCATGTCTTGCTTTGCAGAAGTTTGTTTCATTTCAAGACGTGGGATAACTGTCTCTGTGCATTCCTTACAGATACTCTGCTCATTGACTATCAGTTCACCTTCAGCCTTTCTCAAGAGGATGACCGCTATTACACGGCGATCAACTTCGTAGCAACACCCGAAGAGGTAAATTTTCTGCTTTCCTTGTAAACTTCATCCTTTGGGTTTGTGTTTGTCATCTCTTGGCCATGGAGGCGATGAATTGTTACAGTTCTGCCGGTCTCCAGATGTAGTTTCATGATGAGGTGTGTGTGTCCAGTTCCACAAAGCAACCAGAACTTTTTGACCTTGGCTTGGCCGTGCAGTTTCCTATCTTCACAGGAGAGTTTCATAAGGAGCCACGGTTCATTCTTCACAGTTCTTAGAACAACCTTGGAGCTACTAGTTTTGCTTGTTGTTCACCCTGTACCTTGTGTCTCAATTCTTCCTCTTATATTCAGTGCATGTGACTTGTTTTATTCTTTATTATTTCTTATTACATTTCTGCTTTCAGAAAATGTAAATAGGTTTTTAGTTGATGTATTTGCTTCATGTAAATAACAAATTGCAAGACTTTTTTTTTTCAGTGCAGATTTGCTAGGAAACAGTACAGTAAAATTGTTATCCTAAAAATGGATTTTCTTTTTTTCCACCCTTCCCAAGCAAAACAGAGACCTGGACATGTTTATCAATGCATCTAAAAACTTCAACCTCAACATTACTTGGTCCACAAGTTTTGCAGGTAAAATGAGCATGCTCTGAGTTGCTTGGTAGCTTGTTTCGGTTACCGGTTTCTGACAAATGCAAATTTAGTTAGGGAAACTTTTTTTCAAACCTATGAACTTGTCATGCAGTTTTCTTAAATGGTGGGCACGGGGCCAGAGGTAAAATGTTAAAAAGAAATATGTTTTTCCATCTTAATAGTGCCTTTTGGAAACATCGAAGATGCAGATTTGATTTTTCAGTAATGCAGTATTTTGGCATACGGTGGTTTTGATAATGCAATGCAGCTTAAAAGAGTAATGTTCAGATGAATAGTTCATTTTGTAACATTACAATTCAGGAGGCTTCGCCCTTTTTGTTTGCCACTTAAAACGTGCATTGAAACATCTTTTCCTGCTCCTTTTTAACATTTGAAAACAGCTGGCACGCAGGCTGGGGAGGAAATTCCAGTTGTTTCAAGAACCAATATAAAGGAATACAAGGACAGTTTCTCCAATGAGAAATTTGATTTCCGCAACAATCCAAACATCACTTTCTTCGTTTACGTCAGCAATTTCACCTGGCCGATAAAAATACAGGTAGGAGCTGTTAGAGTGTGTGTAATTATTTAAAAATACTGTTTTGTTTCTCTCGAGCGACGTGGCGGTTCGGCGTGCTTCGCGTTGTCCACGCTGAGCCAGCTCTCGCTATAATCCTGCAGCAGACAAAGGTTTGATGTTCCTGATTAAGAGCAAAAAGATGCGTCGTCTTCTGACGTCGCCTCAGCCCAGGAGATCTGAAAACACGCTGTGAAATAAAGCGGGGTGCTTGCTTATTAACAGGGTTGTGTTCTGACGAGGTCTCTGACTTGAAGTGTGTAGGTATGGATGTTGAAGGAAACAGAGACTCGTATCGCCAAAAAACCAAGCCTGGAATGAGAAACAGTGGAAATGTTCTTAGTGTCTCTTTTTAAAGTCTGGTTCTCCAGAGGCACAGCTCGAGGGCCATCCCCCTTTCTCCCCCCAGACGGGTGGGACCTGCAGAATAAGATGAAGCTCATTCTTTCCCTTCATTCGGTGCAGTCAGTTAACACGTTGCCTCCGGTGTCAGACTGACTGCGATGATCAAGCTGGTGCTGAAGAAGCGGTGGATGGAGCTCGGTGGATCGTGAAAACACTCATAGATCACAGACTGCAATCACAGAGACACCGCAACTGCTGCTGCTAATGCAGAGGAACCTTGGCCACCTTCTTGCTAAGTCAAGTGTCAACCCGTGATGTACTCAGAGTGATACGGGCGCCCTTGGAAGGGCAAAAGGACTTCTAGGTCTGGAACAGAGATCTCAAATGAGGCTCTGTATATCTGAGTTCTGCCTTTTTTAAGAGCTTTGGTCAAATGTGGGAACCCAAATTCTTCCATTTTCACCCTTATTCAACCAATTATTAGTTAAAGATGACAACTTCACCTTAATTTACTGGCTGTTTAAACCATACCAGTCACACAAATTTGCTGTAGTGGTTGATTCCAGCAAAGATAATGCACATGATGGTATTGAGCAAGGAAATAGGTCCGCCTGGGAAAAAGGTCCTTAAGCTATTTAGTGATACTTTTCAATGTATTTCCTGAGCTTGTTAAAAAATATTAGGGATACTTGTGAAATGTCTGCGTCACCCTCTGGTAAAGACGGTAGGTTTTAAGTAATGGGGAGATGTTGGCTTATTTGCAGACTGTTAGGTGTGAATGGCTGACTGTGGACTGCGTTTTGGTTCTGCTAAATATCACTTGCAATATTGGTAAGAATTTTCCAACGGGGGAGATGATATTTTACAAACTGGTAAAGTCTTAGTTCGTTGTCAAGTCCTAGTTTTTAGATAAGGAGGAGTTTGCCAGAGCTGCAGAGTAAAGCCTTTATGCCGTTGGATACCCAAGCAGTGAGTACTGAGCCTCACGGTTTTAATTTAAAAGAGGTGCTGCTTTCAGTACAGAAAGTTGCGTAATCGTTCATTTAAATCTTCAGGCTTCTGTTTTATCAAATTGGTAATCACAGGAGTCAGAAAAAATGCAGGTTTTATTTTTTAACTCACAGGTTATGTGTCCATTGATAGTTTAGCTTCCGTAATCAGTGCTGGACTACTACCTAGCCTAAATTACTTGCTTTGCTATTTCTTGATGTGGAGTTGTGCGTTAGGACTTTGTAGATGTTTGGGAACAGTGCTGTCTCCTGTCCCTCAAGCTCTCCTGTGTTACTCCTGCCTCTGCTTATGGTGCATTTCTGCCAGCTTTTCCTGTGCCTGTTGTCACTGAGCTGAAATGTCCCCTCCAGCTTCTTGCTTGGCAGCTGGGTCTCCGCTTTCCCCCTGGATGAATTTGGATGGGTCGTATCCTCTCTCAGCCTTCAGTGTTTGGTGGTTTAAGCCAGACAGAGCCTCCCCATCTTGTCCTGCAAAGCAGGTTATTCAGGTTCAGTTGCGTCGTTTGTTTTTCCTGTGCGCTCACTTGTATTAATCTCACTTGTACAGTTTTGGTCAGCCGTGTCGAAGGTCGTGGAGATCAGGTCTCACCATTGCTTTGTATGGTGCCTGCTCTAGCTTCTTTATGGACCTTTCTAGGTCCTTTTCATGGCAGTATTTTGCTTTGCTTATTCTCGTGGCTGCAGCAATTCATAGCCCTGACTCATTTTAATATGGACTAATAAATACACCCTGTTCTTTCACATCCTTGGTTTCCACCTGATGAGCTCCCAGTCTTGCTAGCGAACTTTGGCGGTCCCTAATAGCATGGTAAAATGTTATCCTGATGCTGTTGCTGGATAGTATTGCCAGTCCTGAAGATCATCTAGTTGTTCTTCTGTGTGGTTCTTTTCTGTATTTTTGTTGATGATCCCCTTCAACTTTGTCAGCAGATTGTGGTGTCAGCACACGTTCTTTTCTGGTCTGTGCCATTAATGAATATAGCAGTCAAAGTCTGTCCAAATGCCATCCTTGAACTAACTTCTGTCCTCTTTAACCACCGCGATTCTGGAAATAATCTTCACCATCTTTATCTTTCCCAGGAGTTTCCAGTGTGTTGATAACCATAATGAAATTTGGATTAGCTCAGCTGTGCTGCCTAGGTCTGTACAATTAATTATTTTTACAAACAGAAAATAGTGGGCTGGCATAGCTCAGATTACTGTTGTCAGCTCTGTTGCTGTTTTCATTTACTTCTTCAGTTCTTTTATTTAAAACTTGTCCTGAAACTTTGCGTGCTCTCGGGGTCTTGGGAGCGTGAATATCTAGATTAATCACAGAATCACAGAATAGGAGGGGTTGGAAGGGACCACTGTGGGTCATCTAGTCCAACCCCTGTCTCTTCAGCTGGAACTTCCTGTGCCTCAGTTTGTGCCCATTGCCCCTTGTCCTGCTGCTGGGCACCACTGGAAAGAGCTTGGCCCCATCCTCCTGACACCCACCCTTCAGATATTTATAAGCATTTATTAGGTCCCCTCTCAGCCTTCTCTTCTCCAGGCTGAACAAGCCCAGCTCCCTCAGCCTCTCCTCGTAGGGGAGATGTTCCAGTCCCCTCCTCATCCTCGTAGCCCTGCGCTGGACTCTCTCCAGTAGCTCCTCATCTTTCTTGAAGTGGGGAGCCCAGAACTGGACACAGGACTCCAGATGGGGCCTCACCAGGGTAGTGTAGAGGGGAAGGAGATTCTCCCTCCTCCTCTAAATACGAGTTTGAAATTTTCCGTAGTGCCACGCTCGGCTGGTGGGTTGCTTCCCCAGCCTTGCTGCCAGCGGCGTGATTTCGTGTGCCATTTCATGCGGAGGGCTGGGATCCGTGCTGTCTGCTTGCACTGGCTTTGAACACATCGAAACACGAGAGGCTTTTTTCTCCACCTCGATCTTTTTATAACCTTGTTCCCATTAGCCGCTTTGCCTTGCACCTATGTTCAGTGTCCTTGTCCTTAATGAAAACGCTCATTTAGTTTTAGGGATGCCGCTGATGGGTTTTAATCTCCTGCCTACCCTTCCAGTGTACCCTCTTCCCTCTCCTTTTCTGGTCTCCTTTACTTGTGTGGCTGAAACATCGCTTGCTATTTTGTTTATCGGTTGCCGAGGTCTAGCACAGCGTGGCATTTGGCAGTTCTTATTTTCTGTCTGTACTGCTTGCTGGCTGCTTGCTAATGAATCCTTTCCTCTCCGTAAGAAGTAGACTCTTTAATTGTTCCTAATGTCCTTTTTGAGGTTAGTTCTGAGGATACAGCTTTCAGATAGTTTTGTATCTTTGACCTGAGAGGAATACTTAGAGGGCTGCTTTCCCATTGCTTATCTCCTTAGTCCACTTGATTTTACTGTCTTATTTAATTTCTCATAGTTAACAAGAGTGAACTTTGATTCTCTTACACCATTTACCTCGTTATATCCTTAATTTAATATTAATTTCCTTGTGTGCACTCAATCCAAGGTAATTTTGCATCACCAGCTCTTCTTAATGCCCTTGTTACTTGCCAAAACAAAGTGTAAAACAGCAGCAGCTTGTACTGGTTTAGAGACCTTTTTTGTGAAGAAGTCTGGCAGCAATATCGCATCCACGAATACGTGGTCCTTACGACTTCTGTTAGCTTGCTCTTCAGTTCAAACTCTTTCCAGTGGTGCCCAGCGACAGGACAAGGGGCAACGGGCACAAACTGAAGCAGAGGAAGCTCCAGCTGAACACGAGGAAGAACTTCTTCCCTCTGAGGGTGACGGAGCCCTGGCCCAGGCTGCCCAGGGAGGCTGTGGAGTCTCCTTCTCTGGAGATATTCCAGCCCCGCCTGGCCGCGGTGCTGTGCAACCTGCTCTGGGTGACCCTGCTTGGGCAGGGGGTTGGGCTGGGTGACCCACAGAGGTCCCTGCCAACCCCGACCATTCTGTGATTCATAGCTAAGAAATGTTTTTCCCCCAAATTAGTGCTTTTCTGTCATCAATCTCCAAATAGCTGTTGGTGTGGAATGTCTTAGTCCCTTCTCATGTTTGCAGTAGCAGTTCTTCATTACTTTGCTATGGCTTTGTCATCCTGCTCCAGGAAGCCCACCTGCCCCTCCTTTTCACTGGAGATCTCATCGTAGTTCAACACAGTGTTCCTCCCTCCTCTCTCGTAGCAACCTAGGAGCACGTCTGAGTGAGATAAAACCAGTTTTTGTTTTCTTCTGCATCCTTTAGCAATCATTGGAGACTCAAGGCTGCGTTTTGCATTCCTAAATTTATCGAGCAGCACTGTCGTCTTCACAGAATCCCAGAGTGGTTGAGGTTGGAAGGGACCACTGGAGGTCGTCTGGGCTAACCTTCTGCTCAAACCAGGCCACCTGGAGCAAGTAGCCCAAGATCATGTCCAGGCAGCTTTTGAAGATCTCCAAGGATGGACAACCGACAACCTCTGTGGGCAACCTGTGCCAGTGCTTGGTCACCCTCGCAGTCAGTAAGTGCCGTGATGTTCAGAGGGACCCTCCTGTGTCTCAGTTTGTGCTCATAGCCGCTTGTCCTGTCACTGGGCACCACTGGAAAGAGCCTGGCTCCATCCTCTTTCCACCCTTCCTCCAGGTATTTACAGACATTGATGAGACCCCCAGAGCCTTCTC